ATTTGATTTATGTAGGGAAACATAAATTTTTAAAGAATAAAAAATAATGCTTCTTGTGGAATTCCTTGATTAATTTTAAAATTTAAAATTCACATTGATTGGAATAGAATAATTTTATTACACTATTATAATTTTTAAAATATAGAATCAATGGTTATATCTGTTCATAAAAATAGTACTTCAAAATGCTATATTTGAAATATAAAGCAGTTCAAAATTGGTCACTTGGCTGTAAAGCACATTTTATTCATCTATAGTTAGAGTTATTCAAGAATCCAGGATCCACTATGACTACCTATATGGTAGATATTTCTACCTACATGGTAGAAAAAACAAACCATTGAAAGTCACAGAGTAAAAAAGATTAACTTTATTTACTTGTCTTTTATCTTTTCCTTCATTGAAAAATTTTTTATTCATTTTGGAATTTTGTGCTTTTCCTTACAGCTAGAAATGTTGCTTTCATATATAACCTGCCTTTATCAGTGAAATATGGATGAATTTCTACTTCACTCTTTATAATTCAGCAAGGATTAATTTATTACATAATCTGCATCTCCCTCATGTTATGGCAGGAATTATAAAAGAAAGAAAAATACTCTTATTGTGACATTAGTAACCAATCTCTCTCTCTCTTTCTATCTCTCTCCTTCTTATTGACATGGGCCTAAAGTTACATTCACTTACAGGAACCATATGGGTTTGTTGTGAAGCTCTAGAAGGCCGCCTTCATGTGCTTATTCTCAGGCTGTAGATCATAGGGTTCAGCATAGGGATCACCAGGGAGTAGAACACAGAAGCCAGTTTATCAGTGTCCGGAAAGTGCTTGGTCCCAGGCTGTAAATGCATGAAGAGCACTGTCCCAAAGAAAATTGTGACTGCTGTCATATGTGAGCTTCAGATGGAAAAGTCTTTCTTTCTCCCTTCTGATGACTGTATCCTTAGAATACACAGGACAATTTTTGAAATAGGAAATTACAACTATTGTCCTGGAAAAAAATAAATTTCCCCTGAAGACAGAAAGACAAGTATTTGAATAACATGAGTATCAGAACAGGACAATGTTACCAGGAGCATGACATCACAGTAAAACTGATTGATGATACAAGGGTAATTTGAATCAATGAGCTAAGGTTCTTTTGAAGGCATCTTTTACTTCTTGGTGGCACAGGCTGTAGATCAATGGGTTCAGCATTGAGATCACCAAGGTATAAAACACGAGGCCATTTTATCAACATCAAAAGCGTGGCTGTATTTGGGCTGCAGGTAAATGAACAGCAATGTGCTGTAGAACACCGCCACCACGGTCAGATGGGAATTGCAGGTGGAGAAGGCTTTGTACCTCCCCTCAGTCAAGTTCATCCTGACAATGGCCACAAGAATAAACATGTGAGATATGAGAACACAAGGCATGAGGACAGCAAGTTACAGCCAGAGAAGATCAAGATTATCAGCTCTAATTCATGCATATCAGAGCAGAACATAGTCATCAGAGGGAAACAGTCACAGTAAAAACACCTGATGATGTTAGAGACACAGAAGGGCAACATAAACAATTTCACTGTGAACAACATTGACACAAAAGTGCTACAGAGGTAGGGAACAATAACCAAGCCCCAACACACCATGTCTGCCATGATAACCATGTACCTGAGAGGCTTCCAAATGGCTACATAGCGATCATAGGCAATTGTTGAGGATATGAACAATTCAGCAATGATGAAACTCTCAATCATTGCCAGATGGGTGGCACAACCACTATAGGAAATGATATTTTTGTGTACTCCAAAATTTACCATCATCTTTGGGCTGATGACAGTCGAGTTACCAAGTTCAATTATTGATCAATGTCTAAGGAAAAAATACATGGGGCTGTATATCTTAGAGTCCAAATGGGTCAGCCTGACCATGTTCAGGTTGCCCATCACTGTGACCAAGAATATAATAAGAAAGATTGCAAAAAGTGGCCCCCAGAGGCTAGGGTTTTCAGTGACCCGCATGATAATAAATTCACTAATATGAGTCACTGCAGTATGATTGAGTTTTTCTATATAATTCATCTTGGTAATCTATATAAGGATAAAATCAACACCAATTATATTTGAAATCTAAGAGAATTTGTGGTATGGTATATATGACCTATGGTTATCTTTGTATCAGATACTAAGTAGACTGTTAGGCTTCCCACCAGGCCAAAATTACATTAAGATATGCTCACATTCAATGAAACTTTAAATGGAAAGATATTTCAAAGTGGTTGTTCTCATGCAGATACTAATACATGCTTCTTTAAATCCCAGGTCATTTTACTACATCAATACAACTGTATTTATTATTTTAGCTTTTTAAATTTCTCATGTAATTTGTACAACAGACATCTGCATCTAAGCAATGGACTTTACCTTACTGTCAGTCTTCAAATGCATTTAAAGAAGCAAGAGTAGAAAGGCATTGAAAACCTCTGTTGAATATGTCCTTCCATGCATCTCTGCTTATTTATTGATCATAAAACCCAATACTCTAATATGAGCATATGAATGCTGTTAGTATCTCCATCTGCTTTTGCCACATCGGTCCATCTTTCATGATGAATCACTACATCTAACAACCTCACATAAACCCTGATACAGAAAAAGAGTGGACCGAATAGGGTGGTTATGAATCTTTTACCCTCCATGGATAATAATGAGAAAAAATCACCTCAGAAGAAGAATGCAAATGAGTTTCAACAACTAAAGTGTGCACATTTTTTGCATGCCAATTTTCTAAGCATTTTACAAATATTAATATGACCCACACAATACACTAGGAAGAAACTAGTAATAGCCCCCCATTGAAAAGCAAGGAAACTGACTCGGGGAACTGAGTAACTTAACAAACTTCACTTAGACTTACTGGTGAAGGGAGGATTCAAATAGTGCCATTTTACCTCAGAGTTCTAATCCCAACCTGAATGTGGTGACTCAGGCCAGAAATCCCAGCACTTTGGCAACTGAGGCCAGAGAACTGCAAGGTTGCACTCAGCATGGGTAACTTAGCCACTTAGCAAGCACCTGTCTCATAAATAAATGAATAAGTAAATTTTAGAAGACATAAATGAATAATAGTCTAGAGATGTAGCACAGTCTACGAGGCCACCTCTCCATGAAGGAGACTCTGAGGAGATGGGAAACAGAAATAGAATAGAAGAAACACCAGAAGAATAGTGACAAAATCCTGGTTAAAACAGATGCCTGAAGCAATGAGCTGATGTAAATAATGGATGACTAGAAACTAAGCTGCTGTGACTGCAGGAAGCATTGGAAAGTGAACAGCAGGCTCATTCTGACTTGTCATCCTTTGCAGGGCAAGATCATGTTTTCCAAAGAAAAAGGTAATTTTGCACATTTGAAGGCCATCTCAGATCACTGGTTATAATGCATTGTAAACTACATTGTCTTAGAAACTGTTAAAGATAAATGTATCTATTTGCCTCACTGGAGTTCTGCTTTAGACTCCTCCAGTTCTAATTATGACAGGTTGTTAAAGAGCTGATTCATATTTTCTTTTTCATCTTCAAGACTCATTCTGTTGAAGATTACATGCAATTTGTGGATAAACAAATTGCACATAATTACCTGAGGGAGAGTGGTTTGCTTATCTGTTAATTAACCTCCAATTAGTCCATTGGGAAAGTAACTTAATGGAATAAAACGATCACGCAATATCACTAAACAACAGAAGCCACAAATAAGCCTTTGTGACCGTTCAATTACACAATGTCCTGGAATTATTAAACAGAGACTGTTTTTACAATGTATGAATAAATGCATGATTGAATTCCAAGAAATATGTCACACAACATTGAATGATGCAATTCATTTATCAAGAATGGTTTTAGATATAAGACCATAATTTAATGTTCTATAATGTCCTAGGAGATGTATAGGTTTTGAAAAAAATCAGTGTCCACTATTCCCGTATATGTATATGTTTTATGTTTACTCTGGAGCTATTTTAAGAATTTGTCTTTTTCACCAATATTCAGAAATTCAAGGAAGTATATTTGCCGTTATGTTATCAGAAATGATAGGATTTAATTCTTTTTCATGGTTAAATAATGCCATACCATGTATACATATCATGTGTGTGGAACACTCAAATTGTGTCGCTTTTTGGCTATTGTGAAAACTACTGCAATAAATATAGGTGGCCAAATGTCTCTTTGATATATTTCTTTCTTTTTTTTTTTTTTTTTTTTTTTTTTTTTTTTTTTTTTTGGTATATGCCACAAAACGGGAAAACTGACTCCCGTAGTAAGTAGTTATATTTTCACTTTAGTTTTAGAAGCTCTGTGCTATTCTCTGTACTGACCATACTAATTTACATTTCCACCAATAGTAAGAGTTGCCTTTACCCCAAATCCTATTCCACATTGTTTGCATGTCTCTTAAACTTTTTAATAGTGCACACGCACAGTTCATGTTTGCACTCATGTTGGGGTGTAGCTGCATGAATTTAACATACCCTAATTCTTTTCCTTTCCTTTACCTCCCTCTGTCTCTATATTGTCTTCTTATTTTCCAAAAATCTATTCCCCTGTATCCTGTTGATTACTTTTTATCTTGTTCTTAAAAACTGTTTTATAGCTTTGGTTTATCATATAAGACAACTTTTGGGATTTTGTTTTCTTCTTATACTGAGGTGTGAGATGATGATTATAGTTCTAAACTTCATTTCCCTGATGGATAAATGTTGTGATCATTTTTGCATAATTTGTGGTCATTTGAATTTCACATTTTGTAAAACATCTATTCAGGTAAAACTCTCTTTACAGTTCTACAAATAATTTTTTATTAGATGAATAGTTCAGAATTTGTTTCCTATTTGGCATGGCTGTCTCTCTGTCATTCTGTTTCATGTGCTGTGTTGTGTGCTGTCAGTCTTATATAAAACCATTGGTCTATTTTCAATTTTGCTTCATGTACTTTTGGTGTTTTATCAAAATAAACAAGCATTGCTTGCTTTGGTAGCACATATACTAGAACTGGAATGATATAGAGAAGATTAGCATGGGCTCTGCACAAGGATGACATGCAAATTCATGATGCATTCCACATTTTTTAAGTTTTTCTTGGATCAATGGACAGAACTGTTTGCAGTCTCGCTGTTTGAAGTATGCTTTGTATGCTTAACTTTTGTAACTTAAAACAACTATTTCTAAGAGGACAATATGTAACATCAACTAGTGATTTCTTACTGTTTTTTAAAATTATGTATTATTTCTACTCTTTTTCTATTTTGCTTTTTCTCTTTAAATAAAATTTTAAAAACAAAACAAACAAACAAAAACATCACCAACATCTACAAGTATTTCCCCCAAATTTTACTTCAATAATTTGAAATCATACTTAGCTCTTTCATCTATTCTGGGTTACTTTTTGTCTAAGGTTTTAGGGATTAAGTGTCAAACTTCAGCATGTAAATACCCAGTTTTTCCAACACCATTTATTAAAGGTAGTGACTTGTTTCTTTATTTGTTCATTTGTTTGTTTGCTGCTTTGTTTAACACTCATTGTTTATACATTCAGTGGGTTATTTTTGGCTCCTCTATTCTCTTGTGTTCATTTTATTTTATACCAAAAACAGTCCATTTGATTGTTATGGAATTGTTAAATTCATGCAGCATGTAGCTACACCCTAACATGATTATTGGTATATTTTGAAGTGAAATAAGATTTTATCATTACCATTTGTCATTTTTTCTCAAGATTTTGACTAGGTGAGACCTTTGTACTTCCACATTAATTTTAGAATTGCTTTTCCAGTTAAGTGAAGAAGGCCACTGACATTTTGATTTGCATTGAGTAGAAGATATGGGTTGCTTTGGACTCTGTAAAGATATAAAAGAGATCTTTTTAAATAAATGAACATGGAAGGTCTTTTTCCTTGAGTCCTTTTCATTCTCCTCCATCAGAATTTTAAAATTTTCGCTGCAGACTTTTCGCACTTTCCGGAATAAATGTATTCCTAGATATTTTACTTTTTTCCATTTTTTTTGAAATTGTTTTCATGAGTTTTTTTCAGTAGGTTAATTATTGGTTGATACCAGTGCTACTGAGTTTTGTATTTTGATTACATATTTGCAACTTTGCTGAATTTATTTCCCAATTCTAACTTCTGAGATTTCAGTTTTCTTTCATAAAATGATATACAATTTTATCTAATATTTTGTCATAATCACATACTTTTTTTCTGCATGCTTTGTTGATATGCTGTGTTAGGTTTATAGATTTGTGTGTGTTGAACCATCGTTATGTTCCTGGGACAAAACTTCCTTGAAAGAGCCAATGAATACAGAAAGAAAAAAAACCAGGTTGCATTGTAAGTGACACCACAGAAATAAAAATGATCTTTGGAGTTTTACAGTCAGCTGCATTCCAATAAATCAAAAACTCTAGAAGATATCAATTAGTTTCCAGGCATATATAACAAAGTCTGAATCATGAATACCTAGAAAACTTGAATAGATCAGACATTATAATGTTGAATTAGTAATACATTTTCCAAACAGGAAAATCCAGAGCCAGATGTCTTCATTTGTAGTTCACAAAACTTTTCATGATGAAAGAATATAATTTCTTCATGAAATATTACAAGAAATTTGAAAGGGAACAATTTTTTTCTACACTCCTTATAGGCATCAGAATTACCCTGATGCTGAAATCAAGCAAGACAGAATTAACAAAGCAGTAACAAAGTTACAAATATTCTTTTGGTTTTTTTGTACTGGGGATCATACTCATGACTTCATGTGTGCCAGGCAACTGTTTATGTTGCTGAGCTAAATCCCTGGCCTTGTAACAAAAATTCTTAGCAAAGCATTAGCCAATCAAATTAAGATACATGAAACATATATCATTATGATGAGTTAAAAAAAATTCTGGGGGCTGGGGATTTAGCTCAGCGGCATAATCACTTGCCTTACAAGCACAAGTTCATGAGTTTGATTCTCGGTACCAATAAAAAAAGTTTGTGAATGGCATTTATTACAGATAATATACAGTTTAGTGTGCTATTTTAATGCGCAAATAGTATGCAGTGATAGAACCCAGAACTTTTAGCTTTAATGAATCCAAATAACCTATTGAGTATGAAAATTGGCAGTGGTTAGCCAGTCCACAGCACTGCACAAATGCATTGTACTGATGGGTCACCCAGGTTTTCTTTAGGAAGCCATCTTCATGAATTAGTGTCACTATTCTTAGTGTAGTTAATACATGATTTAGGAAATATTTGAAACTCTGAAAATAATTACTATTTACTTCTTATTTAATGAAGGACACTGACTTCTCAGATGAAACACAAAAACAGACATTTTATGCATTTTTCTAGATATTATTTTATAAAGTGAGTTTGAAGAATAAAATAGATATAATCAAGCACCGAATGTTTATATGTGCCTTAATGAATAAAACCACACATTATTTTGCATAAAACAAAAGAATATTGAACATGCAAAGATAAAAATGATTAATATGCAACATAAAACAAAATAGAAAAGTTTATATACTCTGCATTATACTAATACTGAAAAATGCAAGGCCCAGAAGTAACAATAAAAAGTGATAGACTATTGTATCTTTCACATAAATGTAAAATTTTCTGCAAACTGCTGGTTGAAGATATTGACCAGCAGTTAATTTGTTGTTCAGTGGTTTGGAGCTAACACAAGCTTTTCTTGAACAACTATTTTTTTTAAATTTTATTTTAAAGAGGGTAAAACTAAACATAACAAAACAACAAAGCAGATCAGAAGAAAACAATGCAAGAGACACAGATTCAAAGCAAGACAACAGATCATCACTGTCTATCATATTGTCTCTTGTTTTCTTCCAACTAATTGTCCCTATCTTCATACCCAGTGAATTCATACAAACAAAATAGTACTGAGCTGATCAGAAAGGGATGATGAAGGCATTGTAGGCCTTCAAAACTAGACAATAGGAAAAACAATGGCTGTCATAATCTCTTCAAAGTAGCTGTCCATGCCTTCATGTATGTTGAAATTAAACAATACAAAACAGAGTAAAATCACTCTGAAGAAAGAATAATAGTATCGCTGGATTTCACAGCATGACACTATGGAATCAGCATTGGGTACCATAGTCTCTTTTCTTCAAAGTAGCCGTTCATTTCATCATGCATTATATAATCGATTCTCATAAACTATTTAGGAGAATGTATTAATGTCTGCATGTATAACTATCCTTTTTGTATTAGAAGGGAAAACAAAACAAAAAATATTCCTAGGAAAACATGAAACAAAAAAGATGAATAATAATAGCAAACAGCCCCAAACACTGACACTATAGGCCTTCAAAACTGGATTGTAGGAGCATTAGGATTGTTATTTTACATAATGATCTTCTAGAGTTCCTCAGATAACCATACAATAATATGAAAAATTGTTCCAGTGCTGTAAATGTTATTTATTACCAAGAACTTATAGAATTTGTAGCACAATCATTTTAGCTATTCTGTGTTTATACAATTTTAAATATTTTTTACTTCCTTTTTCTTTTTTTTATTTTACCTGAGATATTATTTGTCCCCTGTAAGCAGATTCTTATTCTTTCACTGTATTTATTAAGTTTTTTTGTATCTTATGTAATCTTATCATTTCTTACACTAGAGAGAGTATATGGTATTTACACAGAAGAGTTTATTTCACTTATGAGTATGGTCTTAAGTGGTATCTATTGACTTACAAATTATCTCAATGTGGTCATTTTTTATAGCAGAATAGTACTTTATTGTATAAAAATACCACATTTTTAAAATCCATTCCTCAGTTGACGATCATTTATGTTGTTTCCAAAATCTGGCTATTACAAATTATGCTGCCAAAAACATGGTAAGTGGAGGCAGGGTGGCAGACTGCAGCCCTTCCAGGGGGAGAACCAGCAGTGTCTCCTGAGATCCACGCCATGTTGGAACTTAGGACTCTGGGAAGCCAAGCAAACATCTCCCTTGCCTGGTAAGTGGAGGCAGGGTGGCAGACTGCAGCCCTTCCAGGGGAAGAACCAGCAGTGTCTCTTGAGATCCAGGCCATGTTGGAACTTAGGACTCTGGGAAGCCAAGCAAGCACCTCCCCTCCCTGGTAAGCGGCAGTAGTTTAGCCCACTGCAGTCCTTCCAGGGGGAGAACTAGCAGTGTCTCCTGAGATCCACACCATGCTGGAACTTAGGACTCTGGGAAGCCAAGCAAGCACCTCCCCTCCCTGGTAAGCAGAGGCAGTAGGGCAGACTGCAGCCCTTCCAGGGGGAGAACCAGCAGCAGCTCCTGAGACCCGTACCATATTGGAACTGAGGACGCTGTGAAAACAAATGACCATCTTGCCTCCCTCTAAGCAATAGTGAACCTACTGCTACATGGTCTAGAGTCAAATATCCCACTTCCCTTATCCTTCTCCCCCCCACCATTAGCAAATGGGAACCAGAAATTTGAGCATCTCCTGGGAGGTTGACCATAGCAAATAAGGGGGACTTCCTTCTACCATTTCTTTGAAGGCAAATATTTTTAGTACTGTTTTGCTCTTTTTTGATTAATGGTACTGCTCTATTCAATATTCTGTTTGGATAAGTTCTATAGTGTTCTATATTTCATCTCATTTTGATATACATGATTGAAAGAACAACTATTTTAAAGATAACAAATATACTGTGATACCTATTACTGTTATCCCGGTAACCTGCTGTGAAGTTCTGTATCAATTTCACTGTACCATCTTAGTTGGCTTTATTCTGACTTGTTCTGTTGTATACGTTCAAAATAAAATTAAAAAAAAAAACATGGGTGCACATATATCATTGAGTTATGATGTTTTCAGTTCTTCTGGGAATATGCCCAGAAGTGGAATAGCTTGGTCGAATGGGACTTCCAATCTCAGCTTTTTGAGAAATCTCCAGACTGACCTCCACAGTGGTTACTAATCTGCATCAATCTGAACTCTCATCCAAAGTTCAGAAGAGTTTCTTCCCACAGTCTCTCCTGCATTTGTTGTTGGTAGTTTTCTTGATCCTGGCCCTTCTTTCTGGAGATAGAATCTTAATGTTGTTTTA